AAGAAAGTCACAGTCAGTGAGACTCATCTCCAGTTAACCACCAAAAAGCCAGATGTGGCTTAAGCGGTAGAGTGCTACCCTAAAGTTTAAAAAAAAAAACAAAAAACTCAGAAACAGTGCCCAGTCCAGAGTTCAAGCCCCAGGACCACACAGCTACAACACACACACACACACACACACACACACACACACACACACACACACACACACACACACACACACACACACACACCACAAAACAGGCATTTTTCTTTATTCTTCTTTGTGCCTCTTTTAAAGAGTCCCTGCTCGTCACCTCTCCCCCCACCAAAACAAAAACAAAAAAACCCACACCAAAAGCAACTCCCATCCCATTCCCATAGCCTCCCCTGGTGGGGCAGGAAGAATGAAGGGTCCGGAAGTCCAAGGCCCTTCTCCTAGAAGAGCGCAAGCAGTCAGGTGCGGCTGTGGGGAACTCGGCCTGTAGTCTGCCACGCTGATGACTCAGAAGCTAAATATAGCGAGTGATATAAACAGAGCCAGCCACAGAGCAAACACAGGGCCCCGAGCCCCAGCACTGGCTCTCACGCACGCGGGCTCTACACAGCCCCTCCTCCCCCTCCTCCTCCTCCTCCTCCTCCTCGGCACTGTCCTGAGTGGATCCACCACTCCTGCCGCACAGGCTGGCTTCCTAGGGGCCCTCACACTCTGGGCCTCCATCCCAACCCCCCACAAGGGGTCATTCCCGTCTAGAGGCTGTGTGACCTCATTAGGCATGGTCTGAGCTCCAGAAAACGACTCGCCAACATGGACAGCCTCCAAAGGGGTCAGGAAGCAGTCAGGGCGCCCTGAACAAAGGATCGGGGCTGCTGGGCAGAGAAGCTGCTAGTTAATAAACCATGCAAACACAACTTTGGTACAACTTCCAACGGAGCTCCCCAAGAGCTATAAAACCAGGTCCAAGAGAAATCGCAAACTCATCTCCTAACATATTTCCAGAAGCGTTCAACTTCCCGTGCAGTTAAACACAATAGTGATTCTGTATGTTTGTTTGTTTGTATGCTGGGGATCAAACTCAGGGCCTACAAAGGCCAGGTAAGGGTGCTACCACTGAGCTACACCCCCAATCCAGCCCAATAACTGTATTATAACTGGCACCTCTGCCACACAAGCCCTGGAACACCGTGCTTGCAGGGCCATGCTTCGCCAGTGAGCACAGACGTTGAAGTGGCACAGCTGGTTTTTTTTGAACGCAGATCTCCCCGCAAGCCCAGCATCCGTCCTGTCACAACTAAAGAGGACTTCAACTGAGTGACTATGAGGAAAAACCATTTCCAACATCAAGAATCCTGGGCTGGAGGCATGACTCAATGGTCGAGCACCTGTCTAGCAAGTGGTAAAGCTCTGACTTCAAACCCTGGTAGTAGCGCTTGGCTTGTGTTTTGGTGATACTAGGGATTGAAGTCAGGGGCTTCTGCTATCTAGACAAGTGCCCTGAGCCAGGTGCCTAACCTTTTCTTTTCTTTTCTTTTTGGCAGTCGTGGGGCCTCAACTCTGGGCCTGGGCGCTGTCCCTCAGCTCTTCAGCTCAAGGCTGGCACTCTACCACTTGAGCCACAGCACCACTTCCGGTTTTCTGGCTTGGGGGGGGGGGGTATTGGAGATAAGAGTCTCATGGACTTTCCTGCCTAGGCTGGCTTTGAAACACGATCCTCAGATCTCAGCCTCCAGAGTAGATAGGATTACAGGTGTGAGTGCCAGTGCCCGGCTCTAACCTTCTCTTGTCTTGGTTCTTTTTCACATAGGGTCTCCATGTATCCCCAGATGCATGTGGACTCAACCTGCCTGTTTATGCTTCCCATGTAGCTAGGATGCCAGGCACTGAGACGGAGGAGTCTCATGGGATGCTGGGTTAAGCAGCTAGCCTTGCAGGCACGGGCCACTGGTACCTGGCCAGCAGCTACTTTTTGAGGATTGGGGCATATGGTTCTGTTGTACAGAGCGTCACTATGCAGTCCAGGCTGAATCCCAAGCACTAGTGTGTGCCACCACACCTAGCAGATGCTTAGATGCTTAGCATTGCCTAGCAATGCCCCCACAACTTCCCAAATGGGCTGTGGGACCAGAGCGGTTCCTAAGGGAGGGGAAAGCCAGCTCTGGAGGAGACCCCACGGAGAGAATGAACAGAAATGGAGGATCGGGCCTTCCAGGAACAGCAGCTGCTGAGTCCAGTTAGGAAGCTACTTTGTATCTCCCTTCTCCACACAGAACTTAGCACTCCCAGAACCCAGTCCAAGCACCCCACAGACAACGGACCTTCTGGGATCCCTGCTTCAGCCTGTCACCCAAAAGGAATAGGGGAGGAACACTCCTGCCCCCGCAGGAGGCGCAGCACGTGTCCAGGTTTGGGAAAGCTTCCTTACACTACGCATGGTGGTGTTACAGCTCCAATCCCCGTACTCAGGCGGCAGAGGCAGGAGGACAGCAAGCTCAGGACCAGCCTGGGAACATGGCCAACCTGTCTTATTTCCAACCCCCCACACCCAAAAAGAAAAGCTTTTGCCTCCACTCCCTTTGCCTCCAACATTCCTGCTGCTTTGGAAGCCCAGAGAGCTGACGGTGAGCGCCCGTGGACTCTGCGCTCTGCCCGTAGCTGCCTCTCATCCACAGAAGCCTCCCTGACCCGGCACTGCCAGGTTACCTCATTGCTCACGAGGTATGCAGAGACAGCGCACAGCATCACGCTCCATCTGCCATCAGACCATCTCCCTCGTCACCGTGTCCCTGTGTTCTGTACCTCCCAGGGAGAGGACCCCAGTACAGACAAGATGACTGAGATCTAAAACCAAGGATAAGGGACTGCATACTCCCTACACAACTGAGGCCCAATGGCCATTGTCTGGCCCCTGATCTGGGGAAGGAAGAAGATTAGGCTGTCTCAACCTCCTCTAGAGTTAGCCTCTATGAGGCCTCTAAATACAGCCCACAATGCTGAGCAACCATGATCACCTGTGAACAGAGGTGGGCTAGGCCTAGTTCTACCACAGAATAGACTGGAAGGGAGTTGAGGGAAGGCAGTAAGGGGGAACCAACAAGAACAAGAATGGAGCCGGGCGCTGGTGGCTCACACCTGTCATCCTAACTACTCAGGAAGCTGAGATCTGAGGACCATAGTTCAAAGCCAGCCTGGGAAGGAAAGTCAGTAGGACTCTTATCTCCAGTTATCCACCAGAAAACGGGATGCAGAGCTCAAAGTGCTAGAGCAATAGACTTAAGGAAAAAAAAAAAAAAAAGAGTTCAGAGACAGTGCCCAGGCCCTGAGTTCAAGCCCAAAGACCAGCAAAAATTAATAATAATAATAACTCTTACTATCTGTGGGAACTTTCATAATAATCTTCATAATAAAATCAAGTGGCTTCCTGATGGCTAGTAGGTAACAGAGCTATTACTCAAACCTAGGCCTTCCTACAGTGCACTCAAAGCCCAGAGACTTAATCCCCAACAACTTCCCTCTTCATGCCTCAGTTTACCTGCCAGCCAAGAGAGAGAGAAACAGAGAGAGACAGAGACAGAGAGACAGAGTGGAAAACAGAGAAAAAAAGATAAAAACATGGGCCTGCTAGGCATGGTGGTTCACACCTGTAATCACAGCTACCTGGGAGGCTCAGGTAGGAGGATCATGGTGCTGGGACATCCAGACACAAGCATGAGACTCTGGAAAAATAAGTCAAACAAGAAAGGGCTGGGAGAGCTGGGAAGGTGGCTCAGTGGTAGAGTGCTTGCCTTGCATGCATGAGGCCCTGGGTTCCATTCCTCAGCACCACATAAGCAGAAAAAGCCGGAAGTGGCGCTGTGGCTCAAGTGGTAGAGCGCTAGCCTTGAGCTGAAGAGCTGAGGGACAGCGCCCAGGCCCAGAGTTCAGGCCCACGACTGACAAAAAAAAAAAAAAAAAAAAAGCAAGAGAATCAGGGAAGGTCTTACAAGAAAAAGAGGAAAAGTCTCCCTCTTGATGGGAACCAGCCCTTTGGCCTCCTGCCGTGAGATAGAAGCAGGAAGGAAGATGAAAGAACAGGAAGGAAAGGTAGGAGCGGGCTGGGGGTCAGGTGCAGGATGGGGGAGACCTCAGGCCTTCACTACCTTCCCTTCTTCCCGCAGCTGCGGCTGTGGCTGAGGGGGGGACCCTGTCTGGAACTGACCAAGACACACACACACACACACACACACACACACACACACACACACACACACACACACACACACACACACACACACACACACACACACACACACACACACACCTCGGGGCTGGCAATCACTTGGCCGTACATCAAACTTCCTATCAATAATTCTGTCTGGTTCACCTGAAGTTACCCATCTCATCTCAGGATCTGCCAAATCCTGGTAGCCATTTGCTCCTTTGGTTTGCAGTCAGAGAGACAGACAGACAGACAGACAGACAGACAGACACACACACACACACACACACACACACAGAGCACACCCCGAGGCAGGCCCGCTGACTTCCCGGTGGTGTGGCCCAGCTGGGATGGGGCTGGGGGAAGGGGGAGGGCGGGAGGCGGCGGGGGCTCCGGCACGAGCCGGCCAGACGCCGGCCTTTGTGGACGCGCTGGGCCACACGAGATGCCCCGCCCTGGCGGGGCCGGTGCCAGGCTGCCGGCCGAGCGCCCGCCCCGGCCTCTGGTGCCCAGACGGCTCCCCGGCGGCGCGGGTCAGGTTTCAACCGGTTCCACGGCTCTCCCGGCTCAGGCCCCATCCCCCGGCCAGCCGCAGCCAGGCTCCCCTGCCCTGGTCCCAGCGCCGGCCTGGGGAGAGGCGGCAGGCCACCTCCGGGCCCACGCAGGGGTCAGGGTGGCTCCCTGCCCCGGGACTGGCCAGCCCGGCCCAGGAGCGGGGAGGAGGAAGGCCACCGCGCTCCCCCGTGCCAAGCTCTGTGACAGGTTATCTATGCTCAGCCCCAGCAGACGAGACGGTCCCTGGCTTCCACCCCGACCCCAGGCCTACCCGCTGCGTATGAAGCCGATGGAACTGATCGGCGATGCACTGCAGCTTCCGGGCGATCTGCACCTCCACGCGGTGGCCTTCGGGGGGCTGCTGGGCTGCGGGGAAACCGGCAGGGAGAGGGAGCCGGTAGCCAGCACTGCCTGCGGACACACACACACAACACGGCGGATCCGTGTCTCAGCTTCGCCAGGGCCCAGCCTGCCCCAGCCTGCCCATTCTGGTCAAGACCTGGGGCTCAGAGTGAATCCTAGGATGGGAGGGAGAGGAAGCAGCCTGCCTCTGTCAGGGCGCCACGCCAAGCCTGGACAGCCTGCCCGGCCTGCCGCCCCAGGGTGTAAAAGTTGATACAAGGCCGGGCACCGGCGGCTCACGCCTGCAATCCTAGCTACTCAGAAGACTGAGATCTGAGGATCGCGGTTCAAAGCCAGCCCGGGCAGGGAAAGTCCATAAGACTCTCTTTTCCAATTACTCAGCAAAAAGCCAGAAGTGGAGTTGTGGCTCAAGGGACAGAGTACCAGCCTGGAGCAAAAAGAGCTCAGGGACAGTGCCCAGTCCCTGAATTCAAGCCCTAGGACCAACACAAAAAGAGTTGATGCAGGGTTTAGGAGTATAACTCAGTGGTAGCCGAGTTAAGGCCTTGCATTCGGTCACACACACACACACACACACACACACACACACACACACACACACACACACACACAAGCTGGCCAACCAGAAATGAAATGACCCAGCCTTCTCCTTGGTTCTCCTCCAACATGGCAGTGGTGTGTGAGTACACATGCAGGCCTTCTGTTCTTATTCCTCAAGCTACACTTGACCACAAATACTCAATCTATTATTCATTTAGCAGCAGGTTGAGAATTCTCTGGAAAAGACTGTGGAGTCCTTGGGTTGAACAAAGCAAGAGACAGACAGACAGACAGACACACACACACACACACACACAAACACACATACAGTGTCCTCACTTCTTCAGTGCAGTAGGGAAAAGCTGGGCTCAGCACCTGAAGTTCTGGGCAGCAGCACAAAGGCGGGTAAGAGAAACCTCCCCAAGTTCCTGGCAGAGCAGCCAAGTCCCTCTCTGGAGGCTGCCCAGCCGGTCTTGGGGGCCAGAACACAAAGCTCCCCAAGGGCTGGCACCAGAGTGACCACTAGGGGCGCTGGTCGCCTGGGCTGCTCCCTGCCTTCCCTCTGCTGGTCTTCTCCAACTTGCTCTCCCGGCCAGAACTTCTTGAGTTATTATTCCCCTTGGGGAATAACTGCAGTGTCCCCTCTGTCTGCGAGGGATGGCCTCTGAACTTTTACCCTCCCTCCACAAGCCAGTGTGCTAAAAGAAGAAAACAGACAGAATGTCTAACCCTGCCCTTTTGCCAGGGGAGGGCCTATTTCTCATAAAACAAACCATTTAAGCCCACAAATGAAGGGGTCTTGTCTGATTCAGCTTTGCAGACAGCCCCTCTGCTGGCTCGGAGCCCGGGCAGGCCCAACCTCTTCCTCTGGCTCCCCTTCCAAACACAAGAGATTCCCGAGTAACAACTTGGGGCCACCTTCTGCCTTCACGAACCTGCCAGAATGGGCTGGCTTTTTCCTTGGGTGTCACAGCTCTCTTAGCCAGCTCTTGGGCAAACCACTTACCAGGACACAGAAGACTGGGTTGGTCAGTCGAGGGACACAGAATGTCAGAGGAGATACCAGGGACTCAAAGATCCCTCTAGAAAGAGCAGAAAGCTTTGCCCTTTGGGGGGCCCTGAGTACAGGTAGGAAGCAACTGGCAGAGAAGCAGAAGGTTGAAAGTCGAGGCCTCGATAACTCCCCCCACCTCCAGCCCCACTGTGCTACTCAAATATGGGGAAGGAAATAACGGGGCAGGTTGATGGAGGGAAAGTCCCCTCTTTCCCCCCAGTCTCTACAGGGGCTAAGAGCACTCACCATAAAAGAGTCGCTGGGGCTCTTCAGTCACCCCACAGGGCAGCATGACACCCTGGCTGGGGGAGGCCGGGCTGAGGGTCTGAGTGGCCTTGTCTTCCTGGCTGGTGGGTCGAAGTCCAGGGCCACAGCAGTGGGTGAGAGGGAAGAGCTGAAGCCGGCTGAGGGGGCAGTCCAGCTGGCTCTGGGCAAACAGGGTAGCAGACAGCAGACTCCCGGGCTGGGTCCCTGGCTCCCCATCTTCTGCTTGGAACACATCGTCCTCCAGCTCCTCCACACACTGAGGCGGCTCCATCTCCCCTGCCAGGGAGCAAAGGAGACATCGGGATGCTGCCCCACGCAGGCCGTGCACCCAACGACATCACGCCGCTTTCTCTTTCCTGCCCCCCTCCCGAATGGAGGGAGCCAGGTCAGCTTCTGATGGCGTTACCACCCTGAGGACAAACCATCACCCATGGCCACGGCCACCTTCCTCCGTGCAGACTGCTTCAACATTCAGGACCCCTGCTCAGCAATCCCTGAGCCCACCAAAGCCACCTTCCCTCCCCCTCCCCGCACCTCCCCCCCCCCCCCCCCCCCCCCCCGCTACTCCCTACCCCCGCCCCACACACACACACTGAGGTCTTTAGACCTTCAGACCCTCCAAGCCCCCTTGTCTCAGTCAAGCTCCAGGTGGAGGTGGAGGTGGAGGTGGAGGTGGAGGAGGAGGAGGAGGAGGTGGAGGAGGAGGAGGAGGAGGAGGAGGAGGAGGAGGAGGAGGAGGAGGAGGAGGAGGAGGAGGAGGAGGAGGAAGCAAGCAAGCAATCCTGGGACAGCCAGATTCCCTCCAAACCTGCTAAGCCCCGCCCTACGTCCATCCCATCCACACTGCTCCCCGCCCCCCTACTTGCACAACACAACAAACAGGCTTGGTGGTGTGGGAGAGTGTGTCCTGGAAGAGGGCATAAAGACTGGAGTTAGTCACTGCAGCTGCCTGTTCAGCTGTCTGTGAGCAGAGGAGAGCTGTCTGTCCACCATAGGTTGGTCTCAAGGGTGGATGGTCCAGCCTTTGCCCATGCCCCCCCCCTTCAATCTACTCACTCATCTGGGTGACTTCAAATCCTCCTCCCTCCAGCCTCCCATTCCTACCAGAGCTAAACTTGATGGGGACAAGGTGCCCAGCCAGGAGGAAGTGAAATCCAGCCCCCTCTCTACCTCACTCAACGCCTGGGTTATTCAGGTGGCTGATGAGGTTCTAGGTGAAGTTCCCGAAGAAGTTTCTCTTGCTCCACCTGACGGAGGTCAGCACTTTCTGGGGGCTGGTGACCATTCCACCCCACAGCGGGAGCTTCCATCCCAACCCCGCCCCCCCCCCCTCAGGCCAACTAGAAGTGGCAACCACATCAATGACTAAAGCAATGCAAGAAAGAGAAAAGTTTGCCCAGTGTCTTGTTTTTGAAGAACAAGCCCTGTGAGCGCTGAAGTCCTCACCTGTGAGGATACATTCAGAAACCCTGCCTTTGCCCCCCCAACCCTTCCTGGCCTCTCTACCGTCCCATCTCTGCCCTTTCTCTGCAGAATGAAGACATGCCTACAACGTCCACGGCAAAGCACACACACGTGTCTGTAGAAGTGTTTCCCAAGGGGAGTGTGTGTGGAAGGACAGACAGCTTATCAACAACACACCGTGTGTTCGCCCAGGAGAGGACCAAGTGGGGTCACCTAGTTGTTTCCCCCTCCCCCTTCCAACCTCCCCACTCCCCCCCCCCCCAGCAACCCCAAACCTAAGAAGGGACCCTTCCAGGCCAATCACAGGCAGGAGTCATTGTCTTGCTGTTTTCTTTGAAGCTTATCACTTCCCCTCCCCCCCTCCTCCCAGTAAAGCCCCAAAGTTCAACCCTTGCCCAGTCTGGACAGTGGGGGAGGTGCGGCCGGAGGGTGTGGCTCCCGGGGCCGGGGAGACCCCTCCCACCGCCCGAGGAACCGCAGGTGCCTCTCCCGGCCACGGGAGCCTCCGAGGGGCCGTGGGTGAGGCCAAGTGTAAAACCCTCTCCATCCTCTTCCCCCCCCCTCCCCCCAGGCGAAGTGGCGATGTCCGTCCAGGCTGGCTGGGGGAAGACGTCGCCCCGGATCGCCGCCCAGGAACGCTCGGTCCCCCGCGGAGGGCAACGGACACCCGGCGGGGGCCGGCCTCGGGGCGCCGCGGGGATGCCACGCGCCCCACCCGCGGAGCGGGCGCTCCGTCCGACACGCGGGGCCTCGGGGATGCGCGCGCGCGCACGCCGCACGCACACGCTCGCTCCAGACCTGGGGGACTCCAGGAGAGAGTCTCGGCCTCCGGATGGCGATGCCAGGGCTCGGCGCCAGGGTCCAGGGTGATGGGCGCTCGCGGGGGGCTGCGCGCCCGGACGCGGTCGGGGAGGAGGGGGACAGCCCCGCTGTTCTGGGGGGGGGGAGAGAGGAGCCTCAGACGCCGCGGGGGAGCCGGGGGGCGCCCCGCACCTCCCCCGCGCCACCCCACGGTCCCACCGACCCCGGACAGCGGGTCCGCCCCGCGGCGCGCGCGCCCCGCCGGCGCCGGCCACCTGAGCCCAACTCCTCCGAGTTCCCAAGTGCGCACCCCAACTTTCTCGGCGCTGCGCGCTCACATTTCCGTCCTGCACCCCGCTTCCCGCACCCCCGCGCCCCGGTTTCCTCACGGTCTCCCCCCCGCCCCGCCCCTCCGCGGGCCCCCCACGCGCGGGACACGCGCGGCTCGGCCCCCACCTCCCCGGGGCCAGAGGCGCCCCAGCCCCGCCGGGACCCCGCCGCGCGGGCGCTCACCGGGCTGCGGCGGGAGGCGGCCGGGGCGGGGCCGGCCGGGCCGGGCCGGGCGGGCAGGAGGACGCGCGACCAGGCCACCGCGCGCCGCGCACCGCGCCGTATTGTTTCCAAAATACGCCCGCCCGGGGCATCCCGCAAACAGCTGACGAGGCCCCGCCCCGCGCGTCACGCCGGCCGCCGGCCAATGGCGAGCGCGGCTGCGGGCCCTGGGCGGGGCCGCCGCCGGGGACCGTCGCGAACGTGCGAACCTGCCCTCGGAAACGCGGCTAAGGGGCCGAGCGAAAGTCTCGCCGCCCGCGGAGACGCAACGCGAGCGCGGTCGTCGCCCGCGCCGAGCGCCGGCTCCGGAAACGCCGGGGAGTCCCTGAGTCCTCCCGGGGTGAGCGGCGGGAGTGGGGAGAGCGGGGTGGGGGGGTGCAGGGGGCCGGGAACGGGCTGATTCCTTGCGGCGGCGCCCCAGGGCCTGGAGGACGGGGCCGGGCTTTATCCCCAGGGTCTCGCAGTGGAAGTCCAGGTGGGAGCAAGCGCCCCCCATCCCTGCTCGCTGTGAGGGGGGGGAGAGCTCGGGAGAAAACCGCAGACCCCCCCCCAGCCGGAGGAGAGCGCGCAGTGCGCCCCGGCCCTCCGCCCGCGCCCCGCACGGCGTCCGCGCCCCGCACCTCCGCGGCGGCTGCGCGCGCTCGGCGGGGGAGGGGAGAGGGGGTGGGGAGGGGAGGGGAGAGGGGAGGGGAGGGGAGGGGAGGGGAGGGGGATCGAAGTCCCAGAACCGACTCCCGCCCTGCTGGTGGCAGCACCGCCCCCCCCCCCCGCGCCCCGGAGGAGCGGCGGGACCCCCGGGCCACGCACGACCCGCGTGCCCCCGCACCTACGGGGTGCCAGGTCCTGGATCCGGTGCTGGAGCGCTGGTGCCCGTCCTCAGGGAGCTTCGGGTCCAGCTGAGCATCGGGGAGTTCACAGCGTGGTGTGTGTGTGTGTGTGTGTGTGTGTGTGTGTGTGTGTGTGTGTGTGTGTGTGTGTGTGTGTGTGTGTGTGTGTGTGTGTGTGTGTGTGTGGAGGGGGGAGATGCAGAGGTCGGGGAGGTCAGGGGTCACACCCCCGCCTCTCATCACTGTCAACGCTGGCCCCTCCCCTTCCAGCGCAGAACCCCCCCCCCCCCCCCAGGGTCAGGACCTGTCAGCTGAAGACCAGGCTCTGAGAACCGACCCACCGCGGCAACCCTGGAGTGTGAAGCCCGGGTCTGAGCACCATCTGCCCGTGTGACACCACAGCAAATCTCTGTCTGGGGGGAATTTATGCTCTGCCTCTTCCCATTGCCTAGGTCCAACTTGCTCTTTCTGAAAGGAGGCCCAGAAGGAGGTGGGAACCCCCGCCCCCAACCGGGAGGGGATGCAAAGAATTAAGGGGAGGCCTGTCCCAATCAGAGAAAAGCCAAACTCCCCGTGGAAAGCGGGTAGGAGCCGTCTCCATTGTTTCTCTCAAACTCCAGTAACTGGAACCCAGGGAAGGGTGGTTTGTAAAGAACCAGCTGACAGCTGAATAATAGGAATTACCAGGCAGGCTGCCCTGGGGTTACTGAGGTTTGTAACTCAACCCCCAAAGAGGGGCTAGATTAGAAACTGATTTATGGGTAAGGCGAGGGTCTAGCTGAAGAGAGTCTGTGGTGCTCACCTCTTCACTCCCTCCAGGAGAGACCCCATGTGTGTAAGAAAGACCGTGGACCTCAAAAGCAGGGGGGGGGGGGGCGCTTCCCCCTGTGAACTTATCCTAACAGGGAATTTATCTCTCTGTGCATCATTCCATCTGTCAGAAAAAAAAATAGTTTCTCACTTCTGAGTTTGGACAGTGTGTGTGAGTGAGACAGAGACAGAGAGATGGACACACGGAGCAGACAGATTGGGTTCTACTAACTTTCAGTCAGTGAGTTCTCTACACACGAATCGCTGATGCAGTGAGGTTTAAGTAGGAGCAGGGCGCCAGTGGCTCACACCTATAACCCTGGCTACTCAGGAGGCTGGGATCTGAGGGCCGAGATTCAAAGTCAACCGGGGCAGAAAATCCTCTGGAACTCCACCAAAAAGCTGGAAGTGGAGGCATGGCTAGCTTTGAGTATAAAAGCTCCGGGACAGTGCCCAGGCCCTGAGTTTAAGCCGTAGTACCAGCACAAAACAAATAAAGGAACAAATATGGGGTTCTCACCCTTGCCCCATCCATACCACTAGACGTCTTCTCTGCCCCCACAACCAGAAGGTGAAGCCAGATGCAGCCTAGTGAGGTGTATTCTAGCCTCTGCCAGTTCCAAACACTCACCCCTCAGCCACTGCCACCACCTGGGACAGAACCTATTGCGTCACCCACAGGAAGTGGCCTAGCCTCCAGGCGTCAGCTCTGGGGCACATTTTCAGTTCCTACTTCTGTCCTTGCCTACATGCAACTGGCTGCCCTATCTTCTAGGCCTGGCCTGGCCCTGTGGGTTTGTGCTCACATGCATGACTGAACAGGACTCTCACTTGGATGGGATTTGTATGGAGGTAGTAACTGAGGCCCCTCTTCCCTTTCCCGAACACTCCCCAGTGGGTGAGTAGAGGGGATCTGGCTCAAGCAACTTGTCTCCAGAGAAAATCCTCTTGGATTGCGCGGGAGACAGTCAGGGAAGGGAGTGCCGGACAGCCACCCTATCTCACATCCTTCAGATTCTCATCTCCAATTAACCAGCCAACAGCTGGAAGGAGAGATATGGCTTGAGCAGCGGCGCATCTGTGTGATATCATCCGTGTCCAGTAGGCTGAACTCATTGACTGTCCTGCCTCAGCCTCCTGGGAGCTGGAATTCCAGGCATGTGCCATCATGTTGCCAAAATAGTCCCTATTTTGGTCAAAGTCATCTCAGCTGTAGAAGCTGCATCCCTTAAAGTTCTCATCCCCATTTGAACACGGTGACATCGTGAATGTCGGTACAAGTGGGGTTATCTGTCACCCAAAGAGACATCTACACTCGACTGGTAGTGCTGTCTGGATCTCTCCCAGCTACCTGCTTGTTTTTTGCACGTCTGATTCATTCTACTTGTTGGATGGGTTAAAGGGCACCTGGATCCATGATTTAAATAAAGATCACAATGTTCTCTTAGGATCAGCCAAGCCTTATGTTTACCAATACTGGTTTATTTGTCTAAAAACGGTTGAGTTCAATGCGAGACTAGAGAATGACAGTCACTTCAAGCTTTTTGGTCACTTTTAAGAAATGGGAAGATCTCAACAATGCTGCCTATCTGCCCCTCACCCCAGGTCTGCCCAGAGTATAAGGTCACACCAGATTTCATGGACTCCTATGGTTCTCTGAGGCCATGTGAGCTTTTGATTAAAAAGCAAGAAAAAAAAAAAAAAAGCCCACAAGTAAATACCAAAATCAATCCTGGCTTTCACTACAGGAAAAACAAACAAAAAAAGTACCAGGTGCCAGTGGTTCACACCTATAATCCTAGCTACTCTGAAGGCTGAGATCTGAGGATTAAAAGTCAGCCCTGGTAGGAAAGCTCCTGAGACTCTTCAATGAACCACCAAAAACCTAAATGTAGAGCGTGGTTCAAGTAGTAGAGTGCAAACCTTGAGCAGGGACAAGATGAAGGCCCTGAGTTCAAGCCCCAGTATTGGCACATGCGAACACACACACATTCAAAGAAGAGCTAGAAGCCGGGCGCCAGTGGCTCACGCCTGTAATCCTAGCTATTCAGAAGGCTGAGATCTGAGGATCTCGGTTCAAAGCCAGCCTGGCAGGAAAGTCCATGAGACTCTTATTTCCAATAAAACCACTAGAAAACTGGAAGTGGCGCTGTGGCTCAAGCAGTAGAGCCCTCGCCTTGAGCTGAAGAGTGCAGGGACAGTGCCAGGCCCAGAGTTCAAGCCCTACGACTGACAATCTGCCTAGTAAACATGAGGCCCTGAGTTCAAACCTAAGTACTGCCAAAAAAAAAAGAAAGAGAGAGAGAGAGAGACAGAGAAGAAAAACTGGTAACAAACATACAAGTTTTTAGCATGAAGCCAACCATGTAAATGCTTAGGAAATAACAGTTTCCCTTCCTTTTCCCCAAAAGGAAGGAGTCAGGGTTGTGACTGGTTAGCTGCCCGCCTCTGATCTGACTACTCTCCACTCAGTGACTCGGGGTCTATGTTTTAGAACTATTCTAATTAAAAACAGGATAAGATTGGTAGGTTAGCATGTCTCAGCCAGGGCTGCAGTCAGTGTATGGTTGACTCCACTTGCAATCAGAATTTGCATTTCCACTATGTAACTTAAGATATTGACTCAAACACCTAAGTCAAAGATCAGAACATTTAAATGAAGTTCATTTAAATTCTTTTCTTGTTTGTTTGGTTTTGTTTTTGTTGGTCGTGGGGCTTGAACTCTGGGTCTGGGTGCTGTCCCTCAGCGCTTCAGCTCAAGGCTAGTGCTCTACTACTTGAACCACAGCACCACTTGTGGTTTTCTGGTGGTTTATTGGAGATAAAAGTCTCACAGCCTTTCCTGGCCAGACTGGCTTTGATCCTCAGATCTCAGCCTCCTGAGTAGCTAGGATTACGGGCATGAGCTACCAGCTGGGCTTTTTGTTTGTTTGGTTGGTTTTTTGTTGTTGTTGGTTGTAAGGCTTGAACTGCCCTAGGTGCTGTCCCTGAGCTCTTTTACTCCAGGCTAGCGCTCTACCACTTTGAGCCACAGCTCCACTTCCAGCTTTTTGGTGGCTAATAAGAGATAAGAGTCTCAGAGAGTTTCCTGCTGATGAGTCTTTGAACTGCCTTTCTCAGATCTCAGCCTCCAGAGTAGCTAGGATTATAGGTATGAGCCACCAGCGCTCAGCTTTCATTTAAATTCTTGTCAGATGACAAAATGACCACAAATGTACTTGCAGAGGTAGTTGGCTTTTATTTGTGATTGATGAATTCTACAAAAGAGAAGAAGAGCTCCTATCAGCTCATAACAGAACCCTGAGTTTTGTAAGGGAAATAAAATGGGGGGTGTGTGGTGGAGGTGGGGAGGAATGGATTAGTTAGTGTCTGGCTACTTGACTCAGATAGACAGAATCTCCTGTTTTCAGCAAATATTGATCTGTTTGGGGCTCTGTCTGCTTTCTTAAGGTCTCAAGTAGATTATGTGGATATAGCAGGACTGACTCCATTTTGGTGTTGCCTGGTCTGTAGGGCCTAGTGCAGGAGCTCATTCCAAAACAATGGCCTCCTGTGATTTTTGACACTTTAAAATTATGATCAAAACTAAGATGACCGTTCTGTGACCACTGTTTCATGAGCTATATCTGTTCCCAAGAATTGGGGCTTTCTTTCAGGCTTTCACTTTTAGATTTGGGCACATTTCTCTAATTTCTCAGAAGAGGCAGGGCTGAATTTCTATATGAAAGAAAAAAGAGAAGTAGAGAGAAGATGAGTTGTCTTTGTTTTTGTTTTTTTCTGGTCCTGGGGCTTGAACTCAGGGCCTGGGCACTGTCCCTGAGCTTTTGTGCTCAAGGCTGGCACTCTGCCACTTGAGCCACAGCTCCACTTCTGGCTTTTTGTGGCTAAAGATAAGAGTCTCATGAACTTTCCTTCCCTGGCTGGCTTTGAACTGTGAACCTCAGATCTCAGCTTCCTGAGTAGCTAGGATGACAGGTATAATACCCCTGTAAAGTTGTTGACTTTAAAAAGGAAATCAGGGGCTGGGAAGGTGGCTCAGTGGTAGAGCGCTTGCCTTGCATGCCTGAGGCCCTGGGTTCGATTCCTCAGCACCACATAAGTAGAAAAAGCCAGAAGTGGCACTGTGACTGGTAGAGCACTAGCCTTGAGCTGAAGCGCTGGGGGACAGTGCTCAGCTCAGAGTAAAAACCCTACAACTGACAAAAAAATAAAACAAAACAAAACCAAA